ATTACAATTTTAAGTTAACTTTGTACTTGTGTGTATGAACATAGCACTTGCCGTTCTTTACTAATTCCGTGTTAGCTCAATAAAATGCTGAATTGCGATACATGTTTAATACTGTGCACCATGCCATTTTAAGACGTAAAACTTGTATTTCCTGTGTACTTGTAAAACAATTATTTGTTTGTTACTCATGGACAGATTTTGTGATGAGGACAAAAAATGTATAAGCACTAATATAATGGACATATTAAAAACATAGAAGATTGTACAAAACACACAGTCACACTTGTGGAATTAAAGTCTGTGATATGTTACTACTATGGGATTATATCAAATAATATTAAATTCCCTCCTTAACACATCCTCTTCTCCATGACAAATCTGAATGAAATTATTTAAAACGTTTAAAAACATACCTGAAACCAAAGTTGCTGCTTTCAGCTTCTAGAGCAAGACGTAAGTCACAAATCAAAAGTCAAAAGTCGAAAGTCAAAAGTAAAATATCCGTAAGTCAAAACTCAAAAGTGACCCTCCAAGGCTTCCATATGTAACGGATGACTTGCTTAAAGCAAATAAGTTGCGTCAAAAATTTACGTCGGCACATATTTCTAGATTTAAAAATCCGACTGCTGTGACAAGAGAATTGTATTTGCTACTTGTATGAAACTGTAAATCTTTACATAATGTTAACCATTCGTGCGGCCTCATAGTAAATAGTAGTCTATACATCTTTGCTTGTAATTGTGTATGTTTTTTCTCGTTAGAAATTCCTCAACTCATTGTACTGACAAAAATAGACAAAATCTGCAATGACGTGGAGAGGGATTTTTCATTTACCTACAAGAGCTGGGCTGTAGAAGAGCATGTTAAAAAAGCCTCACAACTTCTGGGCCTGTCTCAAACTAAAGTATTTCCGGTTAAGAACTACAAGGAGGAGACAAAACTTGATAACAATGTCAACATACTTGCATTGTTGGCTTTGAGTCGCATTTTAGAATCTGTAGAAGACTATATGCTCAACCTACTGGATCGACAAGTATTTGGCCAAATTGACTTAAAGAAAAACCAAGCTACTCCATTATAGACCGCTTGGTTAGAACAAAAAGAGAAACAATACATGTACATGTCATTCCATGTAAATTGATAAACATTTGAGCTGCGTCACGATAAAACCAACATAGTGCGTTTGCGACCAGCATGGATCCAGACCAGCCTGCGCATCCGCGCAGTCTGATCAGGATCCATGCTGTTCGCTATCAGTTTCTCTACTTGTAATAGGGTTTGTAAGCGAACAGCATGGATCCTGATTAGACTGCGCGGATGTGCAGACTGGTCCGGATCCATGCTGGTCGCAAACCCATTATGTTGGTTTTGTCGTGACGCGGCTCATTTAATTTCTGAATGTAAGGATAATAGCCACACAAATTTGATAGAAATACCATACGTGTTTAAATAGTTATATTATTTCATATGCTACATTTTATGATAACCAAATAATATCATTTTTAGAAGACATGCGCTGCAAAAGTCGTACATTCCTGGGCTGGACTTATTTGTGTATTTAATGTTTTAATACATCTAATGCTCAATTAATGTTATTGTTTTAAACTAGAACTTGTGGCGTAATTATCATTCACATTGCTTATTATTCACACAAACTCTTTTCTTAGATAGCAGCTAGATAGAAATATTTGTTCAAAGTTTATTTTTCGTATTAATTTCTTATTAATTCAGAAGAGAACTCGATTCTATGTTTTTGTTTCCTTGATTGTGGTTTTATTTTCCCATTTTTGGAAATAATCATTTTGATCTCTCTTTGCTCAAAAACATGATCACTTATTTACATGCTAAAAATAAAAACGAAAGCGTTAAATACACTTTTATTTCATATTCTAACACTCCTTGTGATTTTGACAAAGAAGAAAAAATCAATGTCACGTAATGAAGGTTAATTCATCACGATTTTAACATTTATGTCCCTGTTAAGTTATGCAGTCATCAGTGTGGAAAAGATATAAAGATTGTGAATAAACCATATGGTAATTGTTGTTAGTTTTCTCTTATTCTCAAGTATGCACGAAACCGAAGATTGAACTCGATTACTTACTTTTGCGCATTATTTTAATATAAGGACAGATGTGGTTTCACAAAAGTGATAAGAATATCAAACACTTGTCATAAGTCTGTTATTTGTATATACTTGTATTTACCATAATATAATATTACAACTTGTTTTATTGTATTTTGTAATAGTTTCTCGACATATTACAGATATAAAGCTCAATGTCAGCATTATACATTTTGTCTTGCTTTCTTTCAATTTATTCCTTCTATGCTATTATTTTATAACCGATATGTAAGTTTCATTTATGGTTTAATTTTTATGCAGTGTTACAAAATTTGTCTAATCTTTTTGCTCAAAACAAAGGTCTAACAGTATAACATACCAGTCTATACATCAGAAAAAAAAAGATCTTTTTTATAAAGAGCAGCTTGCGAAATTATATGTGAGGCAAACACATCAACAGGCTGATAGAAAATACATCGTTCAAAAATCAACATAGTAATCAGACAGTAATTGGCTTCGTCAAAACACACTTCTGACCTTTGTAGAGATGCTTCCACGTTGTAATGTTATTGATTCTGCATATATGAATGAACATGAACTCCAAAATGATAATCATAAAACTATGCCTACTGAAGTGTTTTGTGATAGTTCAGGCATAATGATGAGAATGGTTTAAATGGAAATCGGACACCAGAGACAAATTTAACATTCGGTCCTGATCGTGGTGAATGAAAAGGACGTTACATTTTAAAGTTGTATCATAGTTTGGAGACCTTTCTGTTGAAAATGTGTTAGAGTGAAATCGTATACATATACATGTACAGTGCGTTAACTGGAGTGCAGGTATTAGTTACCCGCACTCCAAAGCATGCCCATTGATTGGCTTATTTTTGCTGAGGTTTACTTATTGTGACGACATAGAAAGGGAAAGCGATAGAAATATTATATTCAGATGCTCGTTCATTAATAACTTTTTTCTGGAGTTTCATATTGTTACAACAGTGAACGTATTTTCATGTTTGACTATGATACAAAAGGGAAAGAACATCAAAACATGTGGCAATCTGATTAATACTTGGGGCTACGCCCCCCTCGTACAAATCAGATAGCCTCGTGATTCGATGCTCTTTCTATAACTAATAATATAAAAAGATGAAATCGAAAAACTACCAGATATTCTGAAAGTAGTTTTTACAAATAACTGGATATTCCGACTTCTTTGTGTATCCATACATTATAAATAAGTCTGGTTTTCTTAACTGTGACAGTCAAAATAGTTATACGTCTTTCACAACAGCGAGTTTTTGTTGTTTGTGGTTTAGAACATGCATTGAATATCGAGTTATTATCGAGTAATATATCCCATTCCATCGCTCCAAGCTGCTTAGATAAAAATGTGGGAAGAGGTGATCCCCCAGAACATGACAAAATCACATAACCAAAGCAGACTCGGTTTGATTGAGTCTGCACATTGGGGGATAATAAAAAAACTGCAACATCCCTCACGCCACCTAGCATCGGCTTGAACAGTACTCAATTTTCTACACAAGTGCTTGAACCAAACCCTATAGTCCAATTTTTCATTCTTTATATCAGATATCAGAGCAAGTTTTCATTTTTGACTGCATATTCTGTAGTTTTCAAACAGATTAGACAAAGATTTGATTTACAAAAAAAAAAAAAAACGTAAGTAAACAAAAAAAAATCTTTTTGGGAAAGACTTGCACGAGAATACTTGTAATCAGATAATGAAAATAAGACACCGTCTGAGGCGTGATGTCCCAAATTGATAAGGAATTGCATGAATATCTAGCTAAATTTAGATAATGTGAGATCCAATAATAATAATAAAAAAAATTATTAAAGGCTATTTACTAGGTGATCATTTTGTATGTATTTCTTTACTGTGCAGTATACATGTATATTGCTTTGCTTTCTTCGTGAATATTTCAAACATTTGTTTAAACATCTGAGAACCTTCTCATTCTCATTTTCTCAGTAAGTGATAATTAAAAGTACATTTACATATATTTTAACAAAACCCTCATCTCTCATACATATTGGATTTTTAGTCAATTACAAAAATTAAAACTGCACAATATGAAAGAAATTAAACATGACTATAAGAGAACAAAAGTCACCAAAAAAAACCATGTCAACGAAAGGTATGAACCATAAATGGCATGATATAATTATGTTATCACAGCAACAAAATCCTGAATCTACAGACCATTCTCTGCTTTATAGATATCATACATATACCTACACATTTCTGTGCAGCGTTCATCCATTCTAGTCCCTTTTCGTTTAGTTAGGTTCTGCAATTGCATTTACACCAACAAATGTTATTGTAAGAAGAAAATTCGTGTTACATATCAAATGAATTGTATGTTTTCACACAAATTCTTACATTTAAAAGCATCAATAATCGTAGATCATTCACTACTATTTTTGGAGAATATGGTTCACTTTCACGTTTCTGATTTTGAATTGCGTGCGTGACACATGCTTATGGCGTGCGCCGCCATAATGCATATTCCATAATTAAGAGAACATAAACTTAAAATCGATAAGTATTACTCACATCACTTTCCTCGTACGGCAAGTTGAATTTATAAATTTCAGATCATCTATTTTTGATGAATGATTTCATCGAAATCATGATATGCAGAGAGTGGACAAACCACTTTTGGCAAAGTTTGAGTAAGATATCTAAATGTTCTTTTTTATGAAATAAATTTTAAAAATAAATATTGCATAACACGAGACATTTCTTTTTAAAAATCAGCAGACACACGACGAAATTTATTTCTGAGTATAATTCCACCAAGTATAGCCGCAAAGGTTAAAGCTAACGCAATGCTGAGGTATTTTAATGATTTTTTTCAAAGTTAAGGCAGAATACCTTTAAAACGTTGGCATAAATTTCATGTCCGAAATTAGGGAGCATTTATTTGATAACGTGCCTTTCAGATAACAGTAGGCGAATGCTGTTTATGAACAGAAGTCTATTGTTTGACTGATCTGAAATATTTCAAGGTAATTATTTTCAAATTCAAATAGTTTATGAAGTATTTAATTTTACACAGCATTCCTTCATATTATTGCTATTGTAACGTTAATTAGGCCATTTGTACTTATTTACTATTTATTCAATATTAATGGACCGATTAACTTTGAGATTGAAATAGGTTTCCTTAGTAAAAAAGGGGATTGAATATTGACTAGAAATACTTAGTTAGAATGGGGAGGCAATTCCCTAAACAAATATGCCAAATACCTTCACGTTCTGTAAATTCCAATAAAAAAAGGATTTGCTTTATGCTGATTAAAATGAGTAATACCATTCTAAACTAACGAAATGATATTTATACCATTTTCAGACCAACATGATGTTGCTTTTGATGTTAGCGGTTTTGAGCTTTAAGACAGCATGTAAGTTTTCATATTACGAGCCTTTATAACTTTGTCAGCTTTTTCGTATATATGTATTTTTAATACACCTGTATTTTTTTTTTAAATTCACATTTCACTATGTACATTTCACCACCATTTTGGTATATTACACAGATTCCATAGACTGCTATAACTGTGCAAGCGTGAAAAACATATCAGATTGTCAACAGTTGACAACTTGCTCGTCCGATGACGTAAGTTTAACTGTATACATTTTTTGAACATTATGACACATAGCGTATAAGTTAATTCATTCATTAATTTCATCATTTCATTCTCAATATCAAATTCTTGTAAAATTAAATATCTAAAAATGTTCAGCTTTCTGTACGGATGAGAAAGTTTTACACGACTGAGTTACTCTACGCGTTGGTCATGTATTTAAGGTATTATACGCCTAAGGTATCTTACCTCTTGTCTTTCAGTGAAGAAACAAATGAATTTACATTAGTCGTGTGCGCAAATACAGTTAGGAAGAAACTTTTTCTTGCATTTTCTTCTCCTTTTCATCTCATCAGATTATGGTTTTCTTCATTCATTTGTGTGTTTTTTTTTTAAATTTAATTAAGTGTTATATGTACATTTCGATTGGAATTAGTGAATATAGTGTAGCTCTACAAATTTAATTGATAACTGTTCAAAATTCTGGTTAACCTCCTTCATATCTTGCACAAATGTTAAAAATACGTTGCAATGACCCATAAATAAATGTCAAAATCTGTCGGGTTTTTTGATCCTACCATATATGCATCCAAACTAAAACATATAACTGTTTCAATTAACCCCCCCCCCCCCTCCAAAAAAAAGAAAAAAAAACAACAACAACAACAACAGAAAGAAGAAAAACTAAGATATGCTTTTTTGCTTTTCATATGTCATTCAATATAAATCTTTGGCTCTTTTTAACCACTTTTAAAGTGACATAAATATGACAGAGGTAAAACTATTAACTTCTATATATTAAAGTGATACAAATATTTAACTTAAATTCTCAATATATTTATAACAAGTTTGTTAACATTTCTGTGTTTGTGTGAAGAATAAAATTAATAAATCAAAGTTTAAGATTACATTACTATTGAAACATTGTCCATGCATCTGATACCTAAATTCTTCAGAAGACTGATACGCAGTTCTTGGAAAACTTCAGATCATAGAAATTAAAAAACAAACAAAAAAACAAAACAAAAACATAAAATGCATTACATAACAACAAAGTTAAAAAAGTATTTAAACACAATACAACAAAACATCTTGAAGAATCAGAACTGAGCAGGTATGAAACTGTAATAAAAATTGTACCAGTACTATATTTCAGTATTGTTACACTGACACTTCTGGAATTGGGGATCAAACGAGATTCACTCTTGGTTGTCGCTCAAAACAGGTTCCTTTTGATTCTTTTAGTTTAATGAGTTGGCTTTAATAATTCTCTTCATTTTGTTTCATCTTATTTGACGTCGTTAATTTTCTTAAAGTGACATTATGCGCATTGGAGTGTAAATGATCAGTGAACAGGTTAAATTCAAAATAACTGGATGCTTTCCCAAATTTTGTTCAATTTCATATATTACAATGAAAAAATAATCAATAATCCATATGACTGACGTCTATTTCTATACATATTGTTCAGAATATATTAGTAGCGTTCAGTTCTCAAAAAAAGAGTGGGACAGACGTTATAAATTGGGTTGTTTTAATATTTCATCATGTATATTTTTCATTATCAATTATTGTTCAATCACCATTATAATAATCAATCTTAAGAAATATATTCCTAATTCAACTATCAATAATATTTGTAGGTTTGTCTCTCTGCGACGACAACGGCATCATCACTGTCTATAATTGGCAGATCATTGCCAAATAATCTAGATTGTAGCCAATGTTGTGCTGTTGATTCCTGCAATAAGTATCTATGTACGACTGGCACTCATGGTAAGAAACCCTAATTTATATAGTTTAATATATCCTGCTATTTAGATGCAAAGGTTAACGTTAGCATGATATGAATAAAATAGAGAAAGTAAGAATCTCTAAAGAAGGCCAAACACGGCAAAATTGATAATGTTGCAGGCTCGGTTTCATTGAGCCTGTTCATGGACGGTACTGTCAAGTGCAAATTACCGTCCACGCCCCCTAGCACCGGCTTAAGCAGAATTGAACATTTAACATGAAGTGGTACAATTTAGAATTTTGAAACATTCGCAGATGTGTTCATATGCCGTTTATCATTGAACTTTTAAATGTGACACGCAAGTGCCATTCCATGAAAAGCGGCATATGGTCCCCAAGTAAAAAAGCGTGTGCCTAACGAAAAAAAAAACAATGGGCGGAACTAAATAAAATGGAATTTTGAAAGGGGATCAGAGGTTATGAAGATCACACATAATACGTCAAAAGGAAAATCCACATATCCTAAGGGTGATTCAACAGTATTCAAGTGAGGAATATTGGAACCACCAAAAAAGAAAATAGCCGAATAGAAAGAACTAAATTACTACAAGCACAACAGTAATGTCGTGCTGAACGATCTTTAAGGATCGTTCTCATGCTTTTCTTTGAATATATTATATAATTGTATTCTGATTGTATTGCATTATGTATATCATGTAAATATTCGGGAAATAAATATGTTTAAACTACGGATCGAAAATATAACATCTCGTATATTCAAGTTTGTATTTTCAAGAAACATTTTGCTTTTAGGAACTGATTGTCTATATTAAATGATAAAGATAGTTTAATGTTGTTATTATTAAGATAGGTTGGAACACTTACACTGACCTATCAGCATGATACAACTTAAGGTTTATACATGTAGTATATACAATTATAATTATGAAAAATAAAATATTCATAGATTGAAATAAATATATGTAAAAAATCTCGTTAGAACAAAACAACCTTGTTCAAATTTCTAAACCTGCTGAAAGCAAATAGATATTGTAAAATGCCACAATGAAAACTTTACACGGATTTTGAGCCTATAAATTATATAATATAAATTACAAAATGATAATAATGATATCATTATTTATGTTAAACATATTTCTATAAGTTTCATTAATTTCATTAATTCCTTATAAACTGATAATTCTGATAATTTAGTGACAAGTCAAAAGACGAACAAGTCAATTTCAAAAATCAAAAGAAAATGTTTGTTTTTTTTTACTAAATTTGATATGACTAGCTTAATGCCAAAATAACAGATAAATGTTGACTTAAATTTGTAAATAACATGTATGCTCACCATTTCTGTTTATGCAAGCCAGAATGCTTCTCCTCGTGGATTGAACGTAACTTTTAAAGAAGTCATGTTACTCAACCAGCAAAGCCTTCTAAGGTTCTTGACGTTGTTAACTTAGTGGTTTGTCCTTACCCTACGTCCAAGTTAATCCCAGATGTGCTCGATAGGGTTCAGATCTGGAGAGATTGCAGGCCAGGGCAGGACGTTGACGTTGACGGTGTTTTGAGCAAAGAACTGTGTGGTTATTCAGGCAGTATAGGGCTTAGCATTGTCATGCTCCAGCGTAATGTGAGGGCATGCATGGGAGATGATTATTGCACAGAACATTAATATTACACTGTGCATTTAGATTCCCATGAATAATTACGAGTGTTATTTTTTCGTTTCCCATTATACCATGACAGACCATGACACTGCCACTACCAAACCTTCTCTTTCCCTGATACAAAATTGGGCAAATCTCTTGTTTCTGCGACGGTAAATCCTAACTCTACCATAATCACAGCTGACTCTGAAACATGAGTCGTCCGAAAAAAATGACATTATTTCACTGGTTTCGCCTCGAGTGCTGATGATGCCTGACTATGCCAACCTGGCGGCCCTGTAATGTGCCATTAAAGGTTGCCCAGTGTAAGGTCTCCTGACTTGGAGAGGACAGTTTAACCGCCTTAAACGGCGTCGGATGGTCTCTGCAGAAATTCCTAGACGTCGGGCAGTTACGGTTGCTGGAGTAAAACGATCACGTAAATGAGCTAACTTCATGGCGCGGTCGTCCCTACGAGACGTCGCACGTTCTCTACCTGGCCTTTGGCGATGTTTGACGGAACCAGTATTTGCATAGCGATTTGTAAAGTTACAGTATGGATAGTCTGTCGAGAGCACCCGAAGTGATGTGAAACGTTAATTACCAATGTACCGACATGCACCATGCCAATCGCCTGATTTTTCAGATTTGCAGAAAGCCGTGGCATTGCTGAAAATCGTTTAAATTACTCAACAATTCGTTTTTTCTTGGTTTTTATCAATAATAAGCATTTCCCTGTAATCAATCTTACTCAGATTGAACAGCTTTATTCAAACACATGGGTAGTGTTAAAAACTAAAAATCGAGACACACCTGAGCGAGAGTCTCGATTTAGAGAATTATTGCTTGGCTAATCAGCCAGTTTAGTGTAAGTTTATGTAATAGATAAATACAGAATCCCTAAAGAAAGCCCAACACGGCAAAATTGAAAATGTTGCAGGCTCGGTTTGATTGAGCCTGTTCATGGACGGTACTGGAAAGTGCAAGTTACCGTCCATGCCCCCTAGCACCGGCTTAAGCAGAATTCAACATTTAAACGTGAAATAGTAAAATTTTGAATTTAGAAACATCCGTAGATGTGTTCATACGGCGGTTAACATGGAACCTTCAATGTGACACTTCCGTGCCATTCCATGAAAAGCGGCGTATGGTCCCCAAGTAATAAAAAGCATGTGCCCTAAACGAGAAAACAATGGGCGGAACTAAATAAAATGGAATTTTGAAAGGGGATCAGAGGTTATGAAGATCACAGATAATACGTCAAAAGGAAAATCCACATATCCTTAGGGTGATTCAACAGTATTCAAGTGAGGAATATTGGAACCACCAAAAAAGAAAATAGCCGAATAGAAAGAACTAAATTACTACAAGCACAACAGTAATGTCGTGCTGAACGATCTTTAAGGATCGTTCTCATGCTTTTCTTTGAATATATTATATATTTGTATTCTGATTCAGAGGTTATGAAGCCTGCGTACCACAGATAAGACGTCAAAAGACAAATTTAAAAAGCAGGCAACATATCCTAAGGGTGATTCAACATTATTCAAGTAGGAATATTGGAACCACCCAACTAGAAAATGCCGAAAAATAGATAAATACAGAATCCCTAAAGAAAGCCCAACACGGCAAAATTGAAAATGTTGCAGGCTCGGTTTGATTGAGCCTGTTCATGGACGGTACTGGAAAGTGCAAGTTACCGTCCACGCCCCCTAGCACCGGCTTAAGCAGAATTCAACATTTAAACATGCAATAGTAAAATTTTGAATTTAGAAACATCCGCAGATGTGTTCATACGGCGGTTATCATGGAACCTTCAATGTGACACTTTAGTGCCATTCCATGAAAAGCGGCGTATGGTCCCCAAGTAATAAAAAGCATGTGCCCTAAACGAGAAAACAATGGGCGGAACTAAATAAAATGGAATTTTGAAAGGGGATCTGAGGTTATGAAGCCTGCATATCACAGATAAGACGTCAAAAGACAAATTTAAAAAGCAGGCAACATATCCTAAGGGTGATTCAACATTATTCAAGTAGGAATATTGGAACCACCCAACTAGAAAATGCCGAAAAGTTAAAACTAAAAATACCACAAGCACAACAATAATGTCGTGCTGAACGATCTTCAAGGATCGAAAATATAACATCATTGATTAAATGTACGGGGACGCCACAAGGTACAAATAACACGGATGTGATCATAAAATAGATAAATACAGAATCCCTAAAGAAAGCCCAACACGGCAAAATTGAAAATGTTGCAGGCTCGGTTTGATTGAGCCTGTTCATGGACGGTACTGGAAAGTGCAAGTTACCGTCCACGCCCCATAGCACCGGCTTAAGCAGAATTCAACATTTAAACGTGAAATAGTAAAATTTTGAAACATCCGTAGATGTGTTCATACGGCGGTTATCATGGAACCTTCAATGTGACACTTATGTAAGTTTATCTATTTTCGTATAATTAAGATGTTTAGTGTGTAAAGTTTTCAGTGTGCCTGAGTATAATATTATGATACAAAATTGATGAAAACAATATATTTGTAGATTGAAATGTTTGTATTTTCAGTCGTGAATAGTACCGGGTGCGAAGATGATCCAAATTACAATTGCGCACAAATGAGTTCAGTCTTCAGCGTATGCACAGATACTCATCACGCGATTCTTGTATGTCGAAAATTTTGTGGTCTTTGTATAACAGGTTAGTAATATAATGTAACAATATCTTGCATTTTCAAGCTCATATGTACAACATACTTATAGATACTTCCGGTCAATGTCGGACGGTGTTGACAATTGTGATCTGTATATAAAACTTCCAAGTTTGGTGCTAATTTGTATTAGAGTTAAATTTATGTGATAGTTTATCGGTTTCGGCAGCGGTATTTTTTGTTTTGATTTAGTGACTTAAAAAATAGGCATAAGTGGTAAAATGTATGGAGCTGTAAAATCATTGTATGTATCGGTAAAGTCATGTGTTAGAGTTAACAATCATAAGACAGTCTGGTTTGATGTAAATTGTGGCCTACGTCAGGGATGTATCCTTTCACCTCTTTTGTTTAATTTATTCATTAACGTGTTATCATTTATCTTAAATCATTTGGTAAAAGTATAGACATTGGAACCGATAATGTTTGTATTATGCTATACGACGATGATATTGTTATATACTGTCCGAATCAGCAGAGGATCTGCAAGTGTTATTAAATTGCTGGTGTTTGCTTAATGATATGAATGTTATTGCCAATTAAAGTAATGTTGAACACTTCCGACCTAAATCTGAATTATGTACCCAGTTTATGTTTACTTGCGGCACGAATCAGATTTGTATTGTTGATAGATATTCTTACTTAGGCGTTGTACTTAATGAACTTTTGGATTATGATATTACTGTAAAATATGTTACCCAGAGTGCCAGTCGTGCTTTAGGATTATTGCTTATTGCTAAATGCAAAGCCATTGGTGATGTACACTACGATGTCTTTACAAAATTAAACGACGCCGTCGTTTGGCCAGTTATTAATTACAGCGCTCCATTATGGATATCTATTTCTTTATACTGGTCTAAGCTATCATGTATGAGTTCGGCAAGAATTAATAAACGTTTGGCACTCTGGTCTTAAAATAAAGCTAGTCGCTCATGTAGAAATTGGTATTTTCATGTTAGTAGTTATTATGATGTCAATGATTTACATTTGTACACCAGTTTTATCAGTCCTATACCTCGTTCTTTAGCCCATAATGTTGAAATGAAAACATTAAATTATTGTATTGCTATAACAAAATCAACAATGCTGTTGGGCATTCTGATCGTGGACGTAATAAAGTACGAGTGTATAGTAAATTTAAAATTGAGTATAAAGTAGAAAAATACTGTAAACTTGTATTACCACCAAGTCATAGAACTGCTTTCTGTTAATTCCGTATTGGGGTCGCTTCCATAAGGATTGAATTGGGGAGGTATGAAGGCTTACCATAGCAAGCCAGTATCTGTTCTTATTGCAATACTGATAGAAAATGAATTACATGTTATCTTGAATTGTTCTCTTTACAATGATATAAGGCGGGATCTGTTGGCTAAAGCATGTTTCTTAAGTAACAGCTTTTTGACACTGTCTGATGATGACAAATACTGTTTTCTGTTTTCAAACATAAATTGATTCGTATTTGTGCCAAAACCTGTTTTAATATTTGACAAAGACGCCGGTTTTTATTATGGAAATAGCTTCTTATTTATGTAAATAATAACATCTTTCACATTTGTATGACATACTGCAGCTATTCTTATCAGCTATTCTAATCAGTTTGATTTTTTAACTGAAATAAAATCGTTACTTTAGTTATTTTTATACGATTTCTCAGTTTTAATGTTGTATGCTTACTATCTTAAATTGCTTCTTTCAGGTAGTCACGATGTTTCATTTTATTAGTCTATGTATAGCAATGGTTTCTCAGTTTTATCACTTAAACGTGTTGTTCTAATGATTTATGCATTTATATATATATATTTATATTCTAATATTGTGATAAGATTTTTCATCTCTTATAACTCCATGCTGGAGTGGCATTGTACTTTTATGTTGTAACTTTTTAACATTGCGTATATGTCTGTGCAATAATGAGCTGTAAATAAAGATTTCTACTACATTAAACTATTGTATGTTCTGAATATTATTTTCAATCATAATTTGCTTTCATCCAGTAAATTGGTATACAATATCCATTTCATGTTTGTATCAGTCAGCATATTTGATAAGAGCTTTGACTTATTACAAAGACTCAAATATATGGTGCATAGTCCAAATTAATCAATTATAGTGTTTGGTAATTGGTCGCCATGGGGCAGTTGGTCATCATGTAGTGTTACTTGTGGAGTCAGTACAACTTCACGATCAAGAGCTTGTGACAATCCGGCCCCGCAGTATGGAGGATTGCCATGTGCTGGTCCTTCATCTGAAAGCAGATCATGTGATCTTAAAGCATGTCCAGGTAACACTCGATAATATTGCAATAGATAAATCGTTCAAGAAATCCTTTCCATCAAATATTTTACACTCTACATTCAAGATATTGTTAGACATTCAACCAATATACACTTTCTGTACGCGTGGTTTATAGTAGGAAGAACCATGTGCATGTCTCTTTTCAGTTAGTTGCATGGAAACAATGCATTTAGTGATCATTTCTATTTGAAAATTTTTGCTGTCTATTAAAATGAAATTAGCATTTATTCCATCATTTTAGCTAGCAAACGCTTACGGATATTTACATCTTGAAACATAAAATACTAAATAAATTTGGTTGTGTGCGGCCATTACGATTTTTTATTCTCACTGAACTTTGTAATAAAGATAAATTGATAATGACAAAAAAATACAAGTAGATTCTATTTTATTCTCATAAAGGCTCAAATTCTGTTTTAAACTTTTTTTCCAAATATAAGTGCATGGGGGCTGGAGCAGGTGGTCATCTTGGGGGAGTTGCAGCGTAACTTGTGGAATAGGTTTAGAGAGACGGGATAGGACTTGCTCTAATCCATATCCAGGGCCAGGTGGCGAGCCTTGCTATGGTGATGCACGTGACGACCGTGCATGCTTTGTAAGACCATGTGCAGGTTATTTTATATTTACTTCATTCTCGAGGTTATTGTTGGTAGAACAAATATGAACACATAAACTGTGGTCTAAAACATATGTTTTTATTATCTATTGCTTACTTTTATTATTCTGATTGTTTTTGTTTTTTTTGTTTTTTTTTTAAAAACCCACGTGTTGATGATGGAATACGGTGTTGGGCGTGAAAAATGCTATCATTATTACGCAGAAACAGAAAAACTCTTGAGTGTCTGTGTTGTTGTTGTTAAAGAATTTAAAATATCTTTATACCATTTCTCTGCGGCAACGTCAACCCAGTGTTTACGTGGTTATTTTATTTTTGCTGTTTTATAGAAATTGACTAACACGTTTACATTAATTTGACAGTTCGCCGATTCTCTGTTTCAAAGTATATAAATTACCAATATGGTGAATTGTCATTTTAGCATTTATGACGGGCTAAATGGAAGATGGCTTTGATTTATGGGATTGATGCTGAGAACAGTTTATCTTAAAATTTACACACAAAAATCCTTAAACTTATCATAGCGTATATTGCTTAAAACCTATTTCATTGAAATTAAATCAAACTTTAAACTTTCATGGATGAGTTTATAATATATTTATATTATATTCTTACAGATGGCGTATGGTCATCATGGTCCACTTGGAGCGTTTGTTCAGCCTCATGCCTAGGTGGTATTTCTAAACGTACACGAGCTTGTAACAATCCGACACCATCACCATTTGGTCATGACTGTGTTGGAAATGATGAAGAGACAAAAGCCTGTAATTCATTTTCTTGTCCAGGTATCATGTCTTTTATTTATCAAAATAAATGTCAGATGGAAAACCAAATTTTTAATCACCTTCCAGTGAAAGATTGTATAAGCCCTATTGGTTGGTCACATTCAGGACTTGGCACCGCATACAGTGTTAATCTTTTTGTGTGTTTTAAGTTTAGAAATTACATTATGCCTTTACATTTTATTCACGGGATGTAAACCTCATTTTCTAGTAATCTATATATGAATCATCTTTCATGGCATTATAAATGTTCTTTTAATCCTTACATACGTGTATATGACACATATTTCTTTACTGGTACAGAAAGCTTTTTAAACAGTTATCAATGTGTAACAAAGTTTAAAATAATAATATTCATTGAAATTATATATAAAAAGCTTTATTGATACATTACATATTTAAGCAGCAGAAAAATGAGTATAGATTTAAGTCAAAATATGTCATCTTCAAGTAAACAATATACTGTTTAATCTTAGCTATTAACGGACACTGGACATCATGGACAACATGGGGATCATGTTCTGTAACATGTGGCGGGGGGACAAAGAAACGGACGAGGACATGTACAAATCCTGCACCGTCTGGGTACGGAAGAGCCTGTATTGGAAATTCTGAAGACAAAGACATTTGTAACAGGAAAGGCTGCCCAAGTATAAACTTTAAAGATATCATTACTAGTATAAAATCGTTAATAAGTGGATCCTGAACTGTACGTAAATGCAAGTCAAAACAGTTTATACATGTACTATGGGGTTGTCAGAATAAAGTTTTCAGTTTGAAACATTTATATTGTTCATGCTTTTTTCAAGTACTCGGTAAGTTACGTATTGTGTATGTACAGTAAGTTCCTGTTGATGGCAGTAAATGCTTTGTTTTAAATTCAATACAGACTGGTCGTTATGGTCATCATGGGGGCGATGTTCTGTCTATGATGGAATTGGTATGAAAACAAGAACAAGAACATGCTATTCAGGCTTAGGATGTATAGGTAGTGCGAAGGACAAAGATTTGTGCAATACAAACATGAATCAACTAACACCGTTTGGTATTTATAATTTCTAATTGGTAATGGATAAAAAATAAGATATAACTTACACACTTTTACACTTGTACTGCTTACAATGCGTTTTCAAGAGCAACTATATGTATGCATTATTACCATTTACTGGGTTAGATATATGTATCTTTTATTTTATTGTTTTGCTCATATTTAAACTTAAGTATGACACAAATGCATGCAAAATGAAGAACTATCCCAATTTTGCCACAACATAGTTTTATATAAACATAAAATGCATGTAAAAGCAATCGATGAAAAGTTCATCAATATCTCTAAAACTTATTTTACCTTTAATGAAGGAACTCTAACGAAAGTCGTCATCAACATGCAGTATTATTGAGTATTGTTCATTAAGCAGGTTCATTATCAATGAAGTGCTGACTTATCATAAACATAGAGTTGTATAATAAATTTTGATACAAACAAAACAGTTGAACGTGTATCTAAATTTTCAGTTCTTATCAGATATCAAGACAAATTTTCACAAAAACATGTTATCATGTTACAAAAAATAGCACATTTTGGTAATTATGACTCTTTTGAAGATGATGTTTAGTTTGGTTCACTTTGGCCATTACCAGCGACATTAAAATGAATAATTAAAACACTATTAAGACTGATTTTCAGAATTACAGGTAGTTCTTAATGACTACAAAGTCCAAAAATTAGATAACCCCGCTATTCCAATCATTTAAGGTGTTAAAGGTCCATTAAGCTTCGAAAATCCCATTTATTTATTTTTTCTCTTCTCCAAAGCCTTTTTTTGCTTTCGTTGTCCTGATACAGTTTCCCAAACAATATACTTATTGGCCACACAATACAGTAATACAATACAAATACTATTTCATTTTTAAGGCCTTCGGCCGGTGCCAAAACATATATACGAAGAAACAATTTATACAAAATTATAGCATGTGCACAATGTTTAGACATACACAATTTTTACTAATGTTGCCTTTTTTTCAGTTACTGAAGTTGCAGTGATTACGTAGACTATTTATAATTAGTATGAAAGTGTAAATAAAACTTTGTTGACATTTTGCTACCTCCATAACAATAAAATTAACATAGTCTTTATTTCTAATAATTCATGTAATATGTCAAATTTATATGATAGTACATACACATTGATACAGAACATAAAACGAAAGTATTTTCTTTAAAGTAATTAAAGGGCCTAAATCACTCGCTTGAGATCCATAAGTAAAATCTGTCTTAGATGTGGAAACGGTCAGATAATACATCATAAGACAAAGCAAGTCCTTACATTTAGATCTTGTGATCAAAAGTATTTGTCTTCTGAAATATTTGTGACTATTTATTAAAGTTTTGTGAGCAGTGAAATATAATGATATAAAATTAAATTAATGTTTTGTTACATTTAATAGTCCTGACCTTGAGTTTTAGCTCTACATTAATTTTATTCTTGATCTATTTCACGAAAACAAAAACGCTCATTAATATCTCAAAAACACTGTTTCCATGTGTAAAAAATTGCATCGATTATCTAAGCAGACATAAAACTCAGCACTTTATAATAACATTTCATTGTTTGATATTTTATGTAAAATCAGCTGCAGAACATGCTGCTAGTTACGATCAGTCTTTAAAACATCATTCGCTGCACGTATGTTCATTTACAAGATGGTAAAGTTCCGATTTTACAACTGTAAAAACGCGTTGGAATGGTGGTTAGAAAAGAGCCATAATAAGATGGCAATTCAGCAACTGTAAAATAATTAAAACACGCTTATACTATTTTATCGTGTTATTTTTTTTGCACGATCTATATACATTGTGAATCTATCACATTTTGTATTTATTACATCAGACTGTCTAGATAGAATAATTCACAGTTTTATTATGTGGGGGAACAACTTATAACATGAAATGCAGAGTAATGATTTTTAAAAAAGATAGTGCGATAGTGAAAACCCGCGGCGATACGATAATGAAACTATAGTGGCACGATAGTAAATACGCAAATTCACGATAATCGAAGATAAATGACATGCTAGTAAGAAACGAAAATGTAATAATGAAAACTAAATCGCCCTATGGTATGTCAATTCAATTGTGATGGTTCGATGGGTAGCAGCGATGATAAAACTAACATTGCAGGATGGTTAAAATGACGAAAGTTCGTTGACAAAACTCTAATTGCTCTATGGTGAAATAGCGATTATACAATGATCAAACCATTATAGACGCGATGATTCGACTAAAAGACAAAAATGGCACGATGGTCAAAACGCGCTTGAATAATGATGAAACTAGAGTGGTAGAATTAGTTATAACGCAGTGATACGAGCGATACATCTCCGGTTTGTATTCCTCCATTTCCAATTGCTGCATCGCGATTTCGCAAAAAATAAATCTAATAAACTATTTTATCATTATAATGGTTTAATCATTTTATTTCACCATTGTAGCATTGTGTATCGTAGGTTATGTTGACAAAAGGCACAACTGTCTTAATGGAACACCCACGCATAGGTGACGCTGATTGGAAAAAAATATCAAATTCAGATTATCATTTTCAATTTTATGTTCGTTATTTTATAGAATTAAATGAAATCTGGTTTTGGCAAAAGTAGATCTTTTTGCAGGTCCTGTTCGTTTGGTTGATGGAAAAACTCCTTATGAAGGAAGGTTAGAAGTATTCAATAATGGTACTTGGGGAACAGTGTGTGACGATAGCTTTAACACAATGGCTGCTGTTGTTGTTTGTAAGATGCTTTTCTTTCCAAGGTATTTGATTTCCAAGTTATTAACTATCAGAAGTTTTAAAGAAAGGCCACCTTAGATTATAATTTGCCCTTCAATGTATGACTTGCCCTTTAAGGTAGAATATGCCCATTCAAGAATGATTAATCATTTGAAGTATGATTTACCCCTTAGTGTATTAATTTCCATTAGAGTGTGACTGTCATACAAGAGAAATGACAAGACATAATTCACGATGATCAAATTTGGGCTCGGCTCGATTGACACAAAAATAACTGAAAAAAGGGAGAGTACTAGAATCAGTCGCAGAACGGTGCAGTGGACTCTAGAGGGCCTCTTAAACTCAAAATATCATACCTTGTTATATGCATGTATAATTACCATGCATAAATATGTGATAAAAGCTTGTTTACAAGTGCAACGTAAATTTATTAATAATTTACTTAACGTATACCTTATAGCACGACAAGTTTATAATGTCCGCGTGGACTTTATGACACACACTAAAGTTCAATAGAGACACTGACACAATTTCGATAGTTTTATTCTTGGTTGAATAAAGAGTCCTTTTATTCTGCGATTACAAATAAATGAGTTTAGAATAATAATAGCTCTCCGTTTTCTTAAGTTAAATGAAGAACAGAAAAGTACATAACTGATAAGAAAAAAGTCATATAATATCCAAGTCGCCCTGCCACTAAATTGGCAAACTTGATTTTACGTGAAAAGCGATATCATAGTGGAATTCCATACGTCCGTTAGTTCTAATGTTGTGTCGCATATAACTCTTAAAGTGATTGAGCTTGAGTGAACAAAGTCTACAGGAATGTTGGTCAGTATATGAAAATGTGCACAACAGGTTTCACGTGTTGGGTTATCTTGTTTTGTCGGAGTTACAGCCCTTGACTAAGTAAAATCTTGCAATTTTAACTTGTGTCGCATGTAGCTTAAAAAGTACTTGATCTACAGTCATGAAACTTTAAAGAAAAGATGATCAGCTCGTGCAGTTGTTCATCTCGGTGTTAGCTTGTGGACAGTAACTTGCACTTTCCATTACCGTCCATGAACAGGCTAGATCAAACCGAGCCTGCAACATTTTCAATTTTGTCTTGTTGGGCTTTCTTTAGGGATTTAGCTTTTCTCTCTTTTATAGAAATGTTCGGCATGTTAAGTTGTTCACCTTTAAAGCACGCGACTTGTCTTACATAGGGGTGTAAGACAGGTTTTTCTAACACCGATGGTAACGGCAGATAATCCTGTCTGATATGCACGTTTTTAGCTCACCTGAGCACAAAGTGCTCAAGGGTGAGCTTTTGTCATCACTCTGCGTCCGTCGTGCGTCGTGCGTCCTTCAAAAAATGGCGTCAAACTTTTCAAACAACATCTCCTCCTAAACCACATGGCCAATTGCAACCAAACTTTACAGAAATAATCCTTAGGTAGACCCCTTTCAAAGTTGTTCAAAAATTAAAATTCCATTAAAAACTCTGGTTGCTAGGAAAAACTTAAAAAAATTTCTTTTAAAAAACCCTAAGAGCTAGAGCTTAGATATTTGGCATAAAACATCTTCTAATGAGTGTCTACCAAGTTTATTCAAATCAAAGCCCTGGGGTCAAAATTGGCCCCGCCCCAGGGGGTCATTGATTTTCCCAATATGCATATAGTAAAAACTTAAAAAATCTTCTTTAAAGAACTCAAAGAGCTAGAGCTAAGATATTTAGCATGAAACATGTTCTAATGGGTGTCTACCAAGTTTGTTCAAATAAAAGCCCTGGGGTCAAAATTGGCCCCGCCCCGGGGGTCATTGATTTTCCTTATATGTGTATAGCAAAAACTTAAAAAATCTTCTTTGAAAAAACCCAAATAGCTGGAGTTTAGATATTAAGCATGAAACATCTTCTAGTGAGTGTCTACAAAGTTTGTTCAAATAAAAGCCCTGGGGTCAAAATTGGCCCCGCCCCGGGGGTCATTGATTTTCCTTATATGTGTATAGCAAAAACTTAAAAATCTTCTTTGAAAAAACCCAAATAGCTAGAGTTTAGATATTAAGCATGAAACATCTTCTAGTGAGTGTCTACCAAGTTTGTTCAAATAAAAGCCCTGGGGTCAAAATTGGCCCCGCCCCAGGGGGTCTTTGATTTTCCCTATATGCATATAGTAAAAACTTAAAAAATCTTCTTTTAAAGAACTCAAAGAGCTAGAGCTAAGATATTTAGCATGAAACATCTTCTAATGAGTGTCTACCAAGTTTGTTCAAATAAAAGCCCTAGGGTCAAAATTGGCCCCGCCCCAGGGGGTCATTGATTTTCCCTATATGTGTACAGCAAAAACTTAAAAATCTTCTTTGAAAAAACCCAAATAGCTAGAGTTTAGATATTTGGCATGAAACATCTTCTAGTGAGTGTCTATCAAGTTTGTTCAAATAAAAGCACTTGGGTCAAAATTGGCCCCGCCCCAAAGGGTCTTTGATTTTCCCTATATGCATATAGTAAAAACTTAAAAAATCTTATTTTAAAGAACCCAAATAGCTAGAGCTAAGATATTTAGCATGAAACATCTTCTAGTGAGTGTCTACCAAGTTTGTTCAAATAAAAGCCCTAGGGTCAAAATTGGCCCAGCCCCAAAAGGTCATTGATTTTCCCTATATGTGTACAGCAAAAACTTAAAAATCTTCTTTGAAAAAACCCAAATAGCTAGAGTTTAGATATTTGGCATGAAACATCTTCTAGTGAGTGTCTATCAAGTTTGTTCAAATAAAAGCCCTTGGGTCAAAATTGGCCCCGCCCCAAAGGGTCTTTGATTTTCCCTATATGCATATAGTAAAAACTAAAAAAATTCTTTTAAAGAACACAAAGAGCTAGAGCTAAGATATTTAGCATGAAACATCTTCTAATGTGTGTCTACCAAGTTTGTTCAAATAAAAGCCCTGGGGTCAAAATTGGCCCCGCCCCAGGGGGTCATTGATTTTCCCTATATGAATATAGTAAAAACTTTAAAAAATCTTCTTTTAAAGAACCCAAAAAGCTAGAGCTAAGATATTAAGCATGAAACATCTTCTAATGAGTGTCTACCAACATTGTTCAAATAAAAACCCTGGGGTCAAAATTGGTCCCGCCCCAGGGGGTCATTGATTTTCCCTATATGCATAAATTAGTAAAAACTTAAAAAAATCTTCCTTTAAAGAACCCAAAAAGCTAGAGCTAAGATATTAGGCATGAAACATCTTCTTATGAGTGTCTACCAAGATTGTTCAAATAAAAGCACTGGGGTCAAAATTGGCCCCGCCCCAGGGGGTCATTGATTTTCCCTATATGCATATAGTTAAAACTTAAAAAATCTTCTTCTAAAAAAAACCAAAGAGCTAGAGCTTAGATATTTGGCATGAAACATGTTCTAATGGATGTCTACCAAGTTTGTTCAAATAAAAGCCCTGGGGTCAAAATTGGCCCCGCCCGGGCTGACATTGATTTTCCTTATATGTGTATAGCAAAAACGTTGAAGTCTTCTTTGAAAAAACCCGAATAGCTAGAGTTTAGATATTAAGCATGAAACATTTTCTAGTTAATGTCTACAAAGATTGTTCAAATAAAAGCCCTTGGGTCAAAACTGGCCCTGCCCCAGGTGTGTCATTGTTTTTAACTATATGTGTAAAGAAAAAAACTTGACCAGCTAGACCTTAGATGTTAAGCATGAAATATCTTCTAATGGGTGTCTACCAAGTTTGTTCAAATAAAAGCCCTGGGGTTTAAACTGGCCCCGCGCCGGGGGCCTATATACAGGTGAGCGGTTTCAGGGCCATCATGGCCCTCTTGTAATGTTGATGTTTTTGAAACTATTTCTTAAAAAATACGGTTATGAGTGCGAGTGTGAATGCATGTGTCGTCCTTGTCTCTTTGTGTTTTTTGTTGTTGTTGTTATTTGTGTGTGTGTGTGTGTGTGTGCGTGCGTGTGCGTGCGTGCGTGCGTGCGTGCGTGTGTGTGTGTGTGTGTTTTATTTTTTATTTTTTTGTAATTGTTTTTTCTTTCATTACATTGGTTCCAAATCTGGTATAACCGTTCATATGCATGAAAATAAATAATTGTAAAACCACTGTGGGATGTGCTTCGACCCACAAATGGTAATGTGACGAAGCGAATAAATGGGGTTACCCCATGTGGGGCCTGAAAAAAAAATAAAAAAATTAATTTGCTAAAAAAAAACAGTTTATACACATCATATCTAGTACATTATTAGTGATTGAATTTGTAAATATAAAGAAGATTTCAGGTATAAGACTTAAATAATTTTGACAATACTTTTGATAATTTTTCTTAATTTAAATTTATAAAACTAAATGTTTAATAATAACATGATGATATATTGGCTGTTTTGAAATAATTATAACTTTGGTATATAAGGTTATATTTCATTGGCATCATTAGTAGCAAAGGTTACAAAATTCTGGAAACAAAGTGATCCCTCGGAAGCATTAATCACAAAAAAAATAACATAAGAATTGCAGACTCGGTTTGACAAAGCCACGCTACCGCCCCTTCTCCTTTCTAAATTTATTAGGCATTCTTTTATTAGAAGTAAAAGTACATTATTTTTCTCTTCAATTATTCTGCATTGAAAGTTCTTAGAATTAAATTTGGTAAATATTATAGAAGTTAGATAAAGTTAATACATTTAAATAAAGAACATTATGGTACATACATCTGTATTAAAAATTAGAACTGTAAACTTGGTGTTTTTGTTCTTTCCTACAGTAAAAGGTTAAGAATTAAAGAGACGAAGTGAGTCTAAGCTTCAGGCTCTATATAAATCAGTGGTAAGAGAAAGGGAGAGGAACTTGCGAAGCCAGGTTGTGAAAGTTTATGCAACCTGTCGCCTCGGAAGTAGCCCTCTCCTGCTACACTGCAATAATATTTGTTCATTACATACACTTCGTTTCTTCAGTACAACTCCGACAGTACATTCGAACGCATACGGACACGGGACATTGCCAATTATTTTAGATGATGTCCACTGTCAAGGAAATGAGAGCAGCTTGTTCAGCTGCCGACACAGAGCCTGGGGAACAAGTGACTGCAGTCATAGTGAAGATGTAGGCATATCGTGTTTATCTAGTATGTACCGCAATTCGTCTTGTATCTTCTTAATCCTCTTTCTTGTAAATGAAGCTTTATTATACATTATTATATTATCTTATCTGGCGCAGGCTATTTTTACACGTAAGCTTCACAAACATTTACGGTCATTCGATTTTAGTGGTATTTTTCGAAACAGTATTTCAAATACTTTGTCATGACTTGTGTCAGCATTTTGATGAATATTAAAATTCATTTTTTATTGTTTTATTAAAAAATAAAAAAAAATTGTGCTGAAAACGCTTCAACCCTTTATACCTTTTCTTAATATTATATCTATTTTAGCATGAAATCGGCTATTTTTCCCTCTTTTGCCCATGTTATAACGGGACCAAAACCAGGTGTTAACATAGTCATGCGCTCTTATTAAAGCCCGGTTTTACCTATGCGCAATACATACAGTGCCAAGTAAACAAAAAGTGACGATTTGGCCTGTTTGCCAAAGTGTTATGTTGAAATTATTGATTCGAGGGCCTCAATCGCATAACGGTGCCGGAAATACGGCGTATAGACATCGCCGCTAATCTTGGTCGTCGCTCTTTCTAAGAGACGGACAGTTGTCAATGTAAACAAATAAATGTCATTCAATTTAACCCTCAATATAACCCTGATATTCTTTAACAAACTTGAGTTTGAAAAAAAAAAACGATTCTGATTTCACTGATCTTTTTTCTACCGTCAATCTGAAATCATTCTAAAAATTTCTGAGGGTCATGTTTTGTCTTGGGCAGGGTAATTTAATGTTGTTGTTTTTTCTTAAGTTAATTAATCTCCAATGATAAGTTTTGTTAAATCAATTAAAATTCGAATTTATTTTCGAACGGTTCTGAGCGTTTGAATTTCCCAAGTAGTTGGCCCCGGAAAAATAAAACGCATACGTAAAACATGTAGAATAGGATAAATACCGTCCAAGCACAAGGATTTAATGTATGTGTTTTGTATTAAATATTCATCATGAATGTTTTTTTAAAATTTTATGCTATAATAGCGTCAACGCACATTTATTTCGTGTTATAAAGTCTGCAGAGTCAGTCCCTCGGAATTGTTGGAGCCCAAACCCTACCGGGCTCGGGCACCAACCGTTCCTCGGGACTCTGCAGACGTTTAAACACTAAAAAAACGTGCGTTAACCCTATATTATACTTAATATATTGAAACTTTCTGGTTTTGATAGATGGTTCTGTTCGATTGGTTGACGGAGCAAATCCTTACGAAGGAAGGTTAGAAGTATATTATAATGGTACTTGGGGAACAGTGTGTGATGACTACTTCAACGAAACATCGGCTAGTGTTGTTTGCAAAATGCTTTCTTTTCCAAGGTACTCAATTTAAAAGTTCTATGATCACCATGTTTGTTCTTTTCGTACGCTTTGCTGTATCCTAATCATTTCCCCGCAAAACGAAGTTGTATGGCAAAGGTCAGCACGTGAATCGGTTACGCACTTGGTTCAAACAAGCGAAATGGTCGCAAACTTGACAAAATGAATACCGAACCATAAAAATATTTCCATCTCCAACACGTATTTTCCCAAGGCAATGTTTATTTTATTTATTTATTTATCTATTTATTTATTTTTATTTTTTATTATTATGCACATTCATTAAAACAATGTTTATGGCACAATCGGATTTAGGTTCTATCTTCCTATCTTCTGATTTACCGAAGTTATTGAAGTTTACAATCTGGTCATGTATATATTTTGAGATTTGTTAGGTTTGTTTTTTATTTTCTACACATTTATTCATGTCTTAAGTTTTGAAGTTCTACCAACAACACTAAATGGGTTTCTGCCAAAACTGTGTTAATGTTTTAACTGGCATGTTCCAAACAATTTTAATACACAAAAATATCTTGTTGCTTATAATTGCGTATAAATACCAATTTCACTTTTTAGTGGAAACATTTTACAGTTATTTTTGTAAAATCTGATGGTTATTGAAAGAAAATTCAATCAATGTAAAACATTGATTTTACCACATAAAATCATTTGATTTACAGTGAAATATGATGAACAAGATCATCAAGGAAAGGCTGCGTTCAAAGTTTTATAAGAGTAGATATAAACTGAAATGAATGTTACTTTAAAAATTAAAAAGCTAACGATAAGTACATTTGAAATAAAAAAAAATATCTGTCAAAGATAATAAAAACTATTGATTAAAATTGAAAATTTAGACAGATTTTATTCGCATTTCCAAAGAAGGCCAAAACAATTAATATGTAGGAAACATATCATAAGGAATCTTTGTTCTGCATCAGTTTGAGATCAAAAATTGGTTAATATTGAGAAAACATCAAATGCATTTTTTTTAAAGTGTGGTTTAACAATAAATAAAAAGAATAACGGAACTGTTAAAAAGCGAAAGAGACAAATGTACATTTTGTTGTGTTTTTTTTTTTCTTCTTTTTTTTTATTTAATACAATTTACAATTCGCTGAGTAGCATCAAAAGCTCTCGTTCTTTACGCGAGAACGTCTTTGCCTTGTAATAAATGTTCATTATAAAGGTTTAATTTATGATGACAGGTCTTTTCAACTTTAATATTCTTTCATTTACTTTTTTGTGTATGCTATTCCTCTTCGTGCATACTCAGTTAAATTTTTTTGATAACTTCCGATTAAAATATTAAATACGAGGGGTGTTCGAAATGTACTGCTTATTTCAATCTGGAGACTTCAAATTTCAAGTTAGCTCAAAAAGGTTCATTTCATGTCATCGAAGTACTCTCCGTGGCTAGAAATGCAAAGTTTCAGCCGATGTATCCACTTCTTGAAGGCGTCACGGTACGCTGATTAAGGCACAGTAATAAGGTACTGATGAATGGCAGATCCAAGTGCCTGTCGGGACTTGTATTTCGCCCAGCGAGGAACGATTTCAATTTCGGAAACAAAATGAAATCACATGGGGCAAGGTCTGGAGAATACGGAGGGTGAGGCAAAACAGTTACTTTTTCTTTTTTCAAAAACGCCGAAACTATTGCGGAGGAATGAGCAGGGGCATTGTCATGAAGAAGACGGATATGCTTAAAACCAGTGGCAGGGCGTCGATTCTTATAATACTCAGTTTCTTAAGTACTACGTCTTTGTAGTACTTCCTAGTGATACTTTTGCCTTTTTTTCCGGCACTTTATTGCGACTCCTTCACCAGAGAAGAAAATTGCATACAAAACCTTCTTTGCACTCAAAAACCGTTTGGCAATTATTGGGCGTTTGTTGTGTTTAGTGGCCCAGATTTTGTTGCTAACTTTTCTGACGGGCTTAAAATAATGGACCCAAGTTTCATCACTTGTGACGACATTGGCAAACTGTTTTTTGTAATATTTTGGAAACATTTAAAGCAGCTTTTTGCCCTGTCCTGTTTTTGTTTGGGGTTCGCCTGGGCTCCTTGCCACTAGTTCTTATTGCTGGGTCATATGGGGGTTGCGTTCATTGAACGCCGCCTTTCCTTGTTGATCTTGTTTATCATATTTTGGCCACCTTAACCCGTTGCCTCTTTTGCTCATCGGTCAACAGTTGTGGCACCCATCTAGCAAAAATCTTTCTGACTTTCAAATGCTTTTCCAAAATAAAGTGAACCGTTGATAGTTTGTGCAATATCACCAACTGTAAATCTGGCATCTCCTTCAATGATATCTTTTATTTTGGAAACGATTTCGTTACGAGATGCAGATTTTGGCCTACCTGATTTTGGTGCATTTTTGATGCACTCTACACCAGACACAAATTTCCTTTTCATCACCTGTGTCATAAGACACACAACAAAGGACATAAGCAGTAGAGAGTCCAGTCATCATTTGCCTAACAGAGCAACCCAATTTCGACGCTTCTACCAGCCATTTTTACTACAGTGGTCAATGACTGCGTGTATTTAAATGGCAAATTGAATGTCTTACACTAAGTCTTACATTTGTACATTTATACACAATTGTGTATGCATTAAATTACCATATACAGGTATGGATTGTTTTTTATCGTGTCCCACGTGGTTTACAAAATAGAGGACATTAAGCAATTCTTTACGAACAGCCCTCGTATATTTTCAATAATGCTTTTTCATTAATGAACTGAAAAATATGCAATTAGAAGAAATAAACACGTGTATTATAGCTGTGAAAAAGGAAAAATATAATAACAAAGATCAACAAGAATTTACACATGCAAGCAACAATACATTTATTAAAGAAATATAATGAAATAACATAACAGAAATACATTAAAATAGTTGTTATCACTATTTCAAAAAGGGACAAATGCAAAATCAATACAGGGTATGGTATGTAACATGGTGTATTTGGTGCCCAGTCCGCAACTTTGTCATCGATCAAGGTATGTAGACGATTCACCTAAGACATTTTATTTGCATGGGCCTGACTTGGCATCATATTCTTCAACAGACAATTTTAGGATTTGATCTCGAAGTGTGACTTGACCTTTGATGTAAGGGTCTGCGTGTTATTTGGACATAACAACTTGTCTTATTATTGAAAATATCTGTTCCAAGATCTTTCAAAATCTCTAGATTGATGAAAATTTTTATATCGGAAACAAAATATATCCAATTACACACCATTTAAGCTTTGACCTACCAAGCGTGACCTTCACCTTTGAGGTAGGGGTCTGCGTGTTTTTGCACATGACAACTTGTCTTATTATTGAAAACATTTGTTGCAAGTTATTTCAACATCCCTATATTGATGGAAAAGTTATATACCGGAAACAAAATATACCCCATAACACACCATTTAAGTTTTGACCCAAGAACTGTGACCTTGTCCTTAAAGGCAGGGGCCATGGTAAGGCGCATGACAAATCATCCTATTATTGTGAACATTTGTGTGAAGTATTTTCAAAATCCCCTGAACGATCAAAAATTATCAACTGGACACAAAATATACCCTCAAACTTACAATGTTAATCTTTGACCTCCCAGTGTGACTTTAACATTTGAGGTAGGGGTCTGGGTGTTGCACATGACAACTTCTCTTATTTTTGTCAACAAGTGTGCCAAGTTATTTTAAAATTCCTTGATCTATGATACAGCTTTTGACTGGACACAAAATATACTCTATAATAACATGTTAAGATCTGACCTCGAAGTTTTACCGTGACCTTAAAGGTAGACGTCTGGGTTTTGCGCATGACGCGTTGTCTCATAATTGTGAACATTTGTGCCAATCATTTTCAAAATCCTTTGATAGATGAGAAAGTTATGGACCGGACAGAACATAACATAACAAGAATAAAGATCAACAAGGCAAAGGCAACGTTCACAGGACGCCGCCCCCGGACACACCCAAGTAGGACACCCAGAAGGCACCAAACAAAAATCTGGAATGGACACAAGGGCGATAGGGGTGGGACATGTAATGTAAAATAATATAAACAAAAACGGGCCCATAAGGGAATTAAAAGGATAAGGGCTGTACGGGTGAAAAGGTAGGGGGTTTATAACCCTCGATATGGATATGAAAGTTATGGATCGGACACGGGATATGTCATCAAAAGGTCAATGTTGACTTTTAATCACCAAGTGTGACATTCACCTTGAAGGCAGGAGGTTCGTGTGTTGCGCATGAAACATCTACTCATTATAACCATCATTGATTATCCTTTGATAAATAACTTAGTTATGGACCGGACACGAAATTGTGACGAACGGACGGAGCCCATTTCTCTTTTTTCTTCGAAAAGGCAGTGGACAACAAGGGAAAGAGAATGCAGTCCCCGACTAAATCCAGTAAGACTAGACTCCTGCTAAAGCATCCAGTAGGGAACCGAACAAAAGCAGGACAGGGAGAGAGTTTTTCCCTAGGGTAATTGGACTATGATGTTTAGCTGATAACTGCTCCACAACAAATACAAATACAATGTTTTGAAGCTGTAGTAAAATATGAAAATTGTATCTTTAACAGTATCAAATGAGCAGACGTAGGTCTAACAGTAAGGGAATACCGGTAAAAAGGACCAGCCTAAATTTCCATTCGTGGTGGACAGCAATGATAAAACCGACTTCTTCTCAACAAACATGTAAACAATTTGATACAAGTACGATAGGTATTTACAGCAATTGTAGTACGGTAAGAGTTGATTCGATGTTGCAAGACCAAGACACACGAAACCCGACATGAGGGGTTGAATGTAAAATTAATAAAGGGGGATCTCAAAACAATGATAAAAAAGGGAAAAATAAAAGGTCTACATACAAAGCGAATTGACTATCAAAATGAACATTTGACTGACAACATTGATAGTCTTGAATTTAAAAGGAAGGCAATTAAGGAAAAGGTGATGAGTGTTAAAGCAAATGCTCTCAAGAAA